TGAATTTTTTTTCTCAAGCCTGGAGATAGTAAATCTCTAAAAACCATATTCATTTTTTATTCTTTTTAATCCCCCTCAATCCTACTTCAGACCAAGACCAACTCATTAGGATTAATAGTGAATAATATTTTTGTAAAAATATATTTAAATTAGCTTTTACCTGAGACCCACATAAATATTATGCCTAATATCTAATATAAAAAAATTCCCAACAGTTTAATGCTAATAATCATGTTGAGAAAATTTTCTCAAGCCCGCCCAAGACCATAATAGTATTTAAGAACTGAAATAAAATATGTAAAAGACATAACTCATTTAAAAATACAATCAGAATAAGAAAGTTCATGAGCCTTGGTTTTTTGATCAGGCCTAGCTATGTCTGCAAAAAAAAATTTGGCCAATGTCTAGCCCATATTTAAAATTCAAAAATCTTCAAGCATCTCTATTTTAATTATCCAATATGATTTCCATCACAAATTTAAATTTTGATATTTCTAATACTCTTATGTATTGCAACAATTTTACCTCTTTTTCTCCTAAATTTTAATATTTTTATAAAATTTATTAATAAAATATATTTAGTACCATACACACTAACTAAATAATTACCCTTCAACACCGTCAGCTAGTTATGGTAATAAACGGCAAAATTTTAAAAATATCAGCTATTAATTAATATTTTAAATTTAATTATATTCAAGTTGGTGCATGCGCAAAACATACGCCTTTGAAACGGGAGGTTTGTGGTTCGACTCTCGTAGATAGCAAAAAATTAACAATAAATTATATAGTCTCCTTAAATTTTAAATACATTAGGGAGATATGAAAACGATCGTGTTTTGATTATGGAGATTATATATGTTAGATATATTTTGTTCTACGTTTTTATATTTTAAAATTGAAAAATAAAGAATCAAGTAATTGAATGCTCAGATAATATGTAATTCAAAAAAATAACTTATATGTAATGTTATAATAAGTGACCATTGAAAAAGAATAATCCGTTAAAAAAATTTATAATTCATAAAAGTATGGAATCAATGTAAAAAAAACAACTGGAAAAAGTATCTAAATTACACATCTGCACGGCATCTGTATTATCCACAAAGACTTTTTCAACTAAATTTGTCCTGCCCTTTATTTAAATTTTATTCTGTTCATCTCGTTTTTATTTAGCTTTTTACAATTAATGGCTAAATAATTTTACATAATAAAAATCAGAGATCTGCAGAGGTACCATTTACACCGCCCGGCCCGGCCCGGTTTTAAATTTTTTAGGCCCGGCCCGGCCCGGATTTAAAAATTTCAGGCCCGGCTCGGAATTTTTTAAAATTATATTCGACCTGGTATATACAAAAATTCACCTATGAGGTATTTTACCATATTTTTCAGCGAGTATTATCGCTTATTATTTAAAAAATACATGTAAAAAGCTAATATTTTGAGAATATTATATTGAATTTATAAAAATTATAAAACTGTTATTTATAAAAATGGATATTTTGAGCATATACTATATTTTATATTGCATTTATAAAAATAAAACTAATATTCATAAAAATGGTAATAATATTTTGAGCATATATACTATATTTTATATTGCATTTAAAAAAAATAAAACTAATATTTAATTTATAAAAATGAAAAATATTTTGAGAATATAATATATTATATTTAATTTATTATTTAATTTATAAAATAAAAATAAATCGCTATTTAAAAAAATGCATGTATAAAAAATTTAAATAGTATTTTGAAAATATAATCTAATTGCACAATATTAATATAATTTATTTTATAATATAAATTTTTAACAAAAGAAGATAATTGTATTATATAATATTGTAAAAAAAAATTATTAAAATTGTTGGATTAAAAACTTTCATTACGGTAAATATAATAAATGCAATAAATATTTGACAGTTTGCAAAGTAAAAAACCAGCATGATTGACGAAACCCTATACTCAAGAAAGATATTAAAAATTCACAAAATATTATGAAGAAAGAGAAGCATATCTACCTTTTCAGGTTGAAGATTGCTTCTTCTTTCTTCAAGAATTCTCCCAGTAGTGGAAAAATTCCGCTCACAGCTTGCACTTGAAGCAGGAATTGCCAATACCCGTTTTGCCAATTTTGCTAAAATTGGAAATTCGCTTTGATGAGCCGCCCACCACTCTAACAAATTATCCACCTTAAATGTTTCATCTATTTTTTTATTTATGTAATTATAATATTCATCATCGGGTATTGACATATTACCAGAATTACTATTGCCCCATTTGTCATAAAACGATTCAGTTTGTTTAACAACAGTCGTAATTTACCTGGTCTATGGTATTTCATTTACTTCCTGAGCCTCTTGTAATTTAATATAATCTTTTATATAGTTTTCCGTCATCTTGCGATCTGTCCCTGACAACATACGTAATTGCTTGAATTTGGGACAGAGAAAAAGAGAAATAAAATGATACCAAATTTTTCAATTAAAAAATGCTTTATATTAAGTAAAATCAATTTTATTTCTCCTTTTTCGCTTTGAAAGGTATTACAAACTTCAAGAAGTGATATTCCTTTATTTGATTGTTTTGGTAAAATATATTCTAAAAATTTAGATATGAATTATAAAAAAATATATTAATAATACTTGAATATTGGGGCTTATAGTAATTATTCAAAAGAGAGGTTAAGAGTTAATTATCGGTCAAATTACAAAAATATTTTTTGGGATAAGGTTTTACACTTGAAACAAAAATGAACATTTATCAATGGATATTATTAGCAATGTAATCAAATATTTAGTGAGAGATCGGCTTGATGCGGCAATCAAAGGGAATGCATCAACAAGAAGTCCATTTAGGCAACCTTTTATTTAATCTTGGTATTCATTCCTATAAAGATAAAAATTTAATGTTCATATGAGTATAATGGTATATCTAGACAAAGTATTTTATGCGGCGATTTTTTTTAATCATCTAGTAATGGCCTATCATTAACTTTAAATAAATCCGAAATTTGCTTCCTTAGACTTCAATCGTTTACGACATTACCTCTTAAGGTTATTGAATATAGTAGTTCATCAGCGACTACATAAACGGTGGAAGTAGGAGCGACGTTCTTCCAAATATTTTAAACTGGGGTAAGGGGCAGCCATTATGGGAGTAGGATGAATTTATTGGGGGGAATCCCTATTACATAAGGCAATTTATTATGTGACAATTAGCAATATATTTTTTAAAAATTTACTATCATTTTATATTATAATTTTTTACCTTTCGTAAATATACTACAAATTTTTTTTGTTTATAAATTAAATTTATATTTTAATTTTTTCTAATAAAATAAATAGAATATTACAATATATTACTTACATTTCCACTTTATTAATTGAGAGACGCCTACATCTCTTCAATCATTCGTTTTGGCGACTTATGTATCCGCCCTCGTCTTGGCGTCTCATCCCATATGATAATTTTATTAATTTCTGAAAATGTTTAAGGTCATTATAATTATAAACTCAGTAACGAAACTTTTTATAGGGGTAAGTATGGTTATGGAGAAATTTTTTGTCAAGACGCTGATAGTCCATAATGCTCTGGTAACCAATCGGCGAATCAAATTTTCTCCAAATTTTTCAATAACATATTAGGAGAGACCTTATACGAATCTAGGTAGTATACCAATCAAAATATGAAAAAGAAGGGAAGCCACATCATCTTGAAAATATTATGGAGAATTTATTACGATACGTAAAAGATTCCAACGCTTGGTTCAGTTTCAAAATAGTTAAAAACCTCTAGTTAGATCCACAAAGAATTATCTCATTAAATTGACTTTAAAAAACATGTGATCTATATTAGTGCGCAAAAGCAATAGCCCTGATAAACGATACATTTTTATTTTTAATTAGATTTGAAAAGGAAAAGGAGGAGAAGTTTTTTTAGCGAGCATCTTACCATATACCCCTTATTAGCTTATTATGGGAGTACCTCACTCATTTTCTTGCGCGGATTATTGTATTACCTCTGAAAGCGGTTATGCAAGCTAGCCACGAGTCATTAATTTTTTTTAGTCGATGCTGAAGTCCTCTTCCAAAAAAAAACAAAAAATTATGTGAACAATGAATTTAAAGTTATATTTAATTATAACGATTTATAAATATAAAACGAACTATATGGTGATGATATTTTTGTGAGCAAATAATATATATTTTTAAAAGAACACTTAAATACGAGCTCACAGGTTGAAAAAACTGATATGCTTATTTTAAATATACCTTTTCGTCCTATCTCGGTATTTACAATTACATTAGGGAACCAATATAACTAATGAAAATATAAGGACAATTACTTAGAGGTGTGTACAGGATGCACTACCACTTACCAGGCTACTCTCACAGCAGCCACTCTCCCCCCTCCGCTAATTAAAATATTCTGGGTTAGATATATATAAGTAATTATAAAATTATCCAGAGGTCAATTTATCCCATAAGCCAGGGCCGGATTTTTCAAATTTTATTTTGCCCCAGCTCGGAGTATGCAGGCGTTATTTACATGATTTAATTTTAATTATTTTATTTAAAAAAAAAAATTTTCGAGCATTTTTATTTCGTTATTATGATTCAAACCAGCTGATTTTCATTTGTATATGAAATAAAAATCTTTGACTCAAAATTCTTATTTATATGAATGGCTGATTAATAAATATCTCTAGTAGAAAAGTTAAAAAGGTGAGATTGTTTTTCTGTCCAATCAGTTAGCCAAAAGTTTTGTTCCAGATATTTGTTAAAGTGTTTATTTATGGATGGCTGCTATATGCTCTCGTAAAACGTGGGATCTAAAAGCATTTTTGCATTCCTGTTTCTGTCCAATCAGTTTGCTAAGAATTTCATTCCAGATATTTTTTTAGAATTAAATTAATTAATAATCATTTTATTTTATAAATAACAAAATAAATGAAAAATATCTTTTTTTCATTAAAATATTTTAATGTGTTACGTCATTTTTTAATCATCATAAAACGGTATCTTATTTGAGAATTCAATTTAAAATTTAAAAAAATATCGTCTGGTTTTATTTTCTCGAAGAAAATGTCCAAAGCTAAAGTAAATATTGATGTTTATTTTACATTTTTTTTATAATAAGGTATATTTGTTATAATGAAACTTTATATAAGGAAATATTAGAAGAATGTTTACCCATAATATCGAAATCGATAAAAAATATAGTGCTTTTTAGCCCAAATAGCGAATTTCGCAAAAGCTGCTACGAGCTTTTAAAGGTAATTAATAATTTTATACGATTTAAACAAAAAAATTATATTTATATTAATTTTTTTAAAAGTATAGACAGATGTTATAACTGCTGATTTCCTGTAATTTGTAAGGGGGGTGTTTAACCTTTCATTTACATTATTATATAAATTATATTTTCTTAATATTGTATTAAAAATTTTTAACAATCGAACAACAAAAGTGTCAATATAAGATAACCAAAAATAACCAACAGTATATCATCTATAATTTAAGAAATTATCTAATTTTATATAATTTGATTATGAGCTAAAAAACGAGAATTCATATTAACCCCTCCTCATAATTTGGCTTCGATTCTGTATCTGTATAAAAAAGCATATGTCTGTCAAGTCTCTGTTTAAAATTCTAAGGCCTATCACATTTAATTCTTCAGACCAATAGTCCTTCTCCTTAATATTTAATTTCGTTAATATTACATAATATCGATGTATGGAATCGCCCCAAATCACGTGATATAACCTAAAATTTAATGCCAGAAATATTTAATATCAATTATTTAACTAAAAATATGGTGGTTTTATTAGAAAAGTGGAAACGCATACTAAGATTGTATATATGTAATGTATAATTTTAAAAAAAATTGTTTATTTAACATTTTAAAGGTAGATAACATAACTTGGTTTGAATCAAATATCAAAGAAATTTTGCAAAAGACTACCGAAAGTTTGTATAGAGTTCAACTAGAATTTCCCAATAACAATCTAATATCTTTAAGTAACGCGGTATTTTTTTTGAAAATAATATTTGCTTGATTTTTTGATTAATTAAAAAGTTTTAATCTGAGAAGAAGCAAAAATAAAAATTATAAGCATATATATTAATTAAAATTAACCGAACTCAGTTAATTTTAGAGTGCTGCAAATGGCAAAAAATTTCAGGCCCGGCCCGGATAGCTTTCCGAGTTTTTAAAATTTTTTTTTGTCAATTAGATCTGACCATGTTTAAGGATATATATATGTACAAAAATTCGATTTTAAAACAAATAAAAAAAATAATAAAATATAGTTATAAAATACATTTTATTTAATAGCTGACAATTTTGTGTCAGATTCCGTTACTTTTTTTCGAGGCCACCCAAATAAAAAAAAATTGCGGCAGGGCGGGCATTGCAGAACTTTAATTTAAATACAGTTCCTTATATTTCTTATTTATAGAGGGACAATATTAAGATATATATATAGTTTAATAAAATTTAATTCTTGGCCTCAGGCTAAGAAATCCAAAAATTATTTACTTATATATAAATAAATATTTGTTTTGTTGTGTGCAGAGCCAAAGAGAAGATGATTTCAATTATTTGTCAAAATTTGCTAAAGAAGATAAGATAAGACTTTCTTCGAAAAATATAAATATCGAGGTCGAAACCAACGATGTCGCTTGTGATATTAGTGACGCACAACGAGAAAATATACATGAAAATCACGCAACGATGAATCATACTCATGATTCAGAGATCCAAGATTGGGAAAGAGCAATTATAATGAATTCGTTAAATTCTAATTGTTCATATTCTAATATATAATTTATTTTTATATTTTTTCCATTCCACAAGTTTCTCGTTCGTATTTGCAATTGTAAACAAAATTTTAGTTTTTTTTTTGATTTTCATATTTTAAAAAATCTTAAATTTCTGGCAAAGAATTTTCTTATTATTTTGCGAGAGAAAAAAAAATAAAAATTCAAGTTAAAAAGAATACCAATAAATTTAAATTTAATATCTGATATAGTAATCGCAGTAAATTAGAGCTACAGATTTATTAAATTCTTTGGCCGGGCAAAAAAAACATTAAGGGATTGGTAGGAATAGTGTTGTTTTAAAAATGGCCCGATTAAGATTTTAGCCGAAATAATATTATATAAGCCCCGAGATTTGGCAAATAGAGGTCCAAAAGCTTTCTGCCATCTAGAGCAAAATCTCCAGGATTGCAAAATATTATTTTGTCTAAAATTTATAAAAATCAACCCAAAAATCGGGCCGTTTATCAACACTAGGTAGGAAAATAAACTTTATATTAAAATTTTATGATTTATTATATTATACTTCTTTATTTTTATATTTTCTTGGTCAAAAGCATTTATAAAATGTTAATGAATTAAATTGCCCTTAATAGTGCTCACAAATTGAGCAGAATTTTAGTTTAGCCCTATGTTGAGCAGAATTTTAGTTTAGAGTTATGTTTTTCCTTGGAAAAACGCTTGAGGTTTACATTACTTAAAAAAAATGGTGAAAAACAATATATTTTGCGTTTTTTTTAATTAAAAAAACGTTTACCAATCAATTTAGATGTTACCATTTAAAATACATCTAATTGATAAAACGCAAAAAAAGAAAAGGCTTTAATTTAAAAGCACTTTAATACTCTTAAAAGTACGGGTTCCCAAATTAGATAATTTAATTTTTACGGTATTCTCAAATTTACTAAAACAGTTGTCTCCACTCTTAGAAGAACTAAGAGTACCCCTAATCCTAAAGGATGGGAGATATACCCTAATACCAGTGTATATATGTACGTAATATAAGTGTAATTATATTTTATTAATATTTTAATATGAAATTGTTGTACAATATAAAATAAATTACTTTAACATAAATATTAAATAAGAATTATGACTAAAAATTTAATAGCACCTTTTTGCTTTGCTTTTGACAATTATAAAAAAAATGACTAGATATTTCGTTTCGAAAAGATTAAGAGTGGGGGGGGGGGGGTAGTAGAAAAATGAATTGGTATAACAAAGATTGATTACCAGTTTAATAACAATATAAATATTCAGCAATAAATAAATTCATTTGGTATTTTTGGCATATTTCCACGTATCAAGATGTGCCCGACCTTATGGTTGAACTAGAGGATGATCGAGAACTTGAACCACTACTACTGCTAGAAGAGGATGAAGAACTTTTATTTGAATAAGGCGCAGAACCCCTCAACGATGAATTCTTATCGCGATTTATGTTTGGGGCAGTTTTGGGTATATGATTTTTGACGTTATTAAACTGATCTACCAAAGTGGCAGTCGATGATTTTCGGCGTTGGTTTGTTTCTGAAGCGAGAATCGAAGCGTCCGACTTAGTGTTAACTGTTAATTTGTCATGCACATCGGCGCCTGGCTTATTTTTTGGGTTTGTGATATCGGATTTAACTAAGTTCGCAGATATATCGCGCTCAGATATGATAGAAGTTTTATGTTCTGGCATATACCAGGGTTTCTTAGTATTATTTGGTGTAACGGAATTTTCAATATTAGACTGATGAATTGATTTAGTGGATTGAATTGATAACTTTTTATCGGGACTGGGTGATCTTTCGATCATCCTACTCTCCAATTTACTTCTCCTCGAGGATGAAGGTTTAATATACGTAACACAACGGGGTTTATCGGTGTCCTTACCATCGAAGTTATTGAATTGATCTATATTATCGTGAATAGACTTTTTACGCGTTTCGACTATAGAATTTCTGATCCCGAATTTTCTAAACATGGCATCCTCCTCGCTTTCTCCGTCCCCTCCTTTTGTGTCCTGCAATTTGTTGTCATTAATTTTATTGGGTTGATTATCTCTAACTACTATTTCTTTCTTAACTTTTGCTTCAGTTCCTTTCTTTTTTGCTAGCTTCTTCGCTATGTCTTTTTCGCCAATAAAGGAAGAGCTCACAGTATTATCCTGAATTGATTGATTATTATTTAATGACGTAGAATTAGCGTCGGATGGAGATTTATATACGGGGAGATGAGCGATGTCCTTGTGTTTATCAAAATTATCGCGTAACGACTTTTTCCGAGTCTCGACGATTGAGTTTCGAATGCCTAGCTTTCTCAACTTCGCTTCTTCTTCGCCATTGTTATTAATTTGCAACTTTGGTTCTGTAAAATAAGGCTCTTTAATCTCTTGCCTTGTATCCGTTTCCTTAGCCTTTCCTTTTTTATTATTATTATCGCTATTTGTTGGTTCCTTAGCTATATCATTATTTCCTTTAAAGGAATATACTAACTCTTCCTTCTTAAATACGATTGATTCCTTTTTACCTCCTGCCATATGGGGCTGGCTACCATCTCGCGAAATATTGTTACTTATCGACTGAGTGTCATCAAACACAGGGTCATAGTAGAGCAAATATATGGGTTGTTCCTCATCCCTCCTTTGGTAGAGCATCTCCCCCTGGAAGGCCACTAAACCCTGTTTCCTGGCTCTTAGCAAAATTCCCACTAATTTATCGCTTATATGGGCGTAAAGTTTAAATAAATCGCCGAATTTTACGCATTTTAAACCGTTCCTTTCATCCGTCGTGCCTTTGCGATTTATCATGGCCGTCAAAAGTTCCACTTCTCTCTGGATATGTTTTTGGGCCTCGTGAGCTCTCATTTCAGTTTTAGATCCCTGAATTGGATGCCCATAATTCTGGGAATCGTTTTTGTCGGGCAGGCATGCTGTGGCAAAGTCGGGGTCGTAAGAAGAGGAAAATGGATTCAACAATTGACTCCTTGCGTGAACTTGAATGTCTTTATTGAATTTGCCTACTATATCGCTTATACCAAATCCACTTTTCCGGCCTTTGTTACTTCCGTTTAGCATTTTATTTATTTTTTATATAAACAAGTATTAGGAGTTTATGAAGTGTTTAGGGCATCGTCTTTCAAAAGAAAAATTGATTGATTTTAAGTAAAATTAAAAAAAAAATTGATTAAATTTTTGTGCCTTTTTTTTATTTTATTAGTTCAAGTTTAAAATTATTATTTTTAATATTACGTAAACAAACATTGATATTGATTTGAATAAAAATAATAAATATTTGGAATTTTTTTAATATTTTTTTATATTAAATTTAAAATGAATAATATTATTATAAATTATTATTTTAATTTTTATCAATTAGAAATCCCCCAAATTCCTTTCCGTATAGCTTATAATAAATTATATTAAATTTTGTTGTTTTGGCAACACAACTTATGCTTTTATATTTAATTCATTGATCTATTTTAATTTCAAAGATTTTGATGAATTTTCGTAGTTTTTTTTCTTTTTTTTTTAAATTACTAGTAATTTTAAGATCCTAATTGATATAGACTAAAATTTCCCAGTAATTTTTTTTTCTTTAAATTGTCGTCATCAAAAAATTTATTTTGGCTAGAATCTTAGAAGAGGAAACATATTTATTATTAACATTTTTTATTGATTCCTATCAAACAGATGTAATAAATTAAATTTTTTTAAAAATTATGAAAAATAATATGAAATTGTATCATACGCAAAAAAAACAATACACTACTCCAATCTTTTGAAATTATTACATTTCCTGAGTCACGTATTGACGTATATATTGAAAATTTCAAAGTGCCGATAAATAAATTTATATTATCGATCTCTCTGAATGAGTACCTGTCCTTTAATTATTTACTAACTTTAAAAAATCATGTAGAAAATCTCACATCCCTCAATAATTTAAAAAATTTGCAAATGTCATCTTATTAAGAGTCAAAATACAGAAATAGGCATATGTTGTATTGTGATATTTACGAAGGGCAATTTTTAAATTTAAATGCGAAATTCAGACAATTTTCTAAAATTTTTGAAATATTCTTGAGTTATATCAAATTTTTTAAAGATTTTTTATATGTATATATTTTAAAAAAAATATAACACAAAAGTTAATTGTCCGAAATTTATAGGGTATGTATTTTAGGTATTCTAACACATTTTGGAATAAATTTACCTGTCAAATCAAATTTTTCAATTAAAAATCTGCCTTAGATTATTATATAAAATTGACAGTTCCCGTGGATTCCATATCACAATACATATATAATAATATCTCCCCGGCGAAAATAGGAAATACTTCCCATATAGTCAATGTCTAATCAAAATACGCACTTTTTTAAGAAAAAAATCGATAAAGTTTAGCTTTATTTTTCGCCAATTTTTTTTCCCGGGGACTCAAAATATCGGCATATGCTTAAAGTTAAAAGTAATTTATATATATAAATATATTTTCACATGTTTAGAAAACTCTATTCTAAGATTTTAAGATAATCTTTTTTATCATTAACTTTTTTTTTGAACTTAATATATTAGTTTCCTATATTTTTTTTATACAAATTATAAATAACTAAAAAAAAGTTACGAAATTCGTAAAATAGGTCCTAAGTGATTAGCTTTTCCTCTCTGTCGTTGAAGGTTCAACAGATACGCTAAGTATTCCTCATCTCTATCTAACTGGAATAAATTAAGTTCGATGAAAAATTAAAATGAGGTACACGAACACGTGTGGGTAAGGCGCACAACAGTCCGAAAACTGTCGTTTAAACGTCCATAGGCTAAGATATAAAGAATTGGGGCAAAGCCATAACCTATATCCGAAAATTGCGCGTTTATTTAATTACTTTATGGGGTAAAGGAAGGGCTGATTAATTTTAAATGTGTAAAAAATTTATCTTTTAGTAAAGAACAACGATAGAAAAATTATATATTATATTTTTATAATTATTAAATAAATATATAAACAGAGTTGTTTAAAGTATCTATATACAAAAATGTGATAACTGAATCTAAATCTTTTTTAAAAAATATCTGTATCTAGATATATTTTAAGAGGTAACTGTTTTTTAAGTGTTTTTATATTTAAAAAAATAAGAATTTAAATAATTATAAATTATATTACAAAAACAAACCAGATAAATCATATTTTCAGCAATAAATGACAATATGGTAAATTTTAGTTGATAAGTTCAAGCGCGTAGCCAGGAAACCCGGGTTGGAATATTTTTTTTAATATTTAAAATGATATTTTTTGGGACTTTAAAAATTGATTAAAACTAATCATCATATAAAATTTATTATAATCCATGATATTTTAAAAAAATACAGTAAAATATAGGGAAATAAAAAATATTTAAGAGCGAACATTGTTAAAAAATAGTATAGCTATATAAACCGGTGTGTATAAATTACAAACCAATTTTTCAATAATTTGTTCTCCACTGGGGATTAAATCTCGATGTATAATAAGTAAAGCTCATTCTGTATATTTTCTGTTGTCTTACTTCTGAGAATTTTTTTCTTCGCAATGAAGAAAAGTTCCTCTTGTTGCTAAAATAGACAATAATTTTAATATATTTGGAAAAAAACTATAAAATATATTTCAAATCATGCAATGCCTCATGTTTCTTGTAAGATTATCTACCAAAATTAATCTTTTATACCAGTATTTAAATTTGGAAATTAATTAGCATTCAGATACATTTATATCCTCTGAATAAAATTGAGATAAATAATTAATTTTTTTCTATATCAAGATTTAATATATCCTCAATAGATTTTTAGGTATAATCTTATTTGTAAATTAGATAGATCCACTAGATAAATAACAAATAGTTCATTGAATTAAATCAAAAATGTATTCAAAAGTGGAATAGTAAAGGTTATAATATAGTATAATCCTCAATTGAATTCACGTTAATATGGAACCTTTTTTTTATTTAGCTAATTAATATTTTTTATAGGTAACTAAAATGCGTTACTTATTTATCGATTTAAAAAGTATTTCTTTAATATTTTAAAATGCTGAATGTAATTTATTTTTTTTATTAGATAAATTTTGAACTTTTTTTTGCATTCATTGATTCATTTATATAAAACTATATATAGAAAAATTAGTGGAATACGATAATAAAAGATCTAATTTGTAAATTGGGTTGAAAGGGCTATGTATTTCCTCAGGTCAGGCTCGGCATTAGGAACAAAATTAAGTAAAAAGGATTACATCTCCCGTTTCAAGAGATTTTTTTTGATGATATTTACGAAGAAAATAATCATATTCATAATTATGATATAATTATAAATATTTTTTGTCAGAGTTGTTAAAGGAACAAGATCAAAGTATCGATGATCCTGGATTCGATCCTAATTTTGGCAATTTACCCGGATTTATGATTTTCTTTTTAATTAAGGATCGTGATCATTTTGTTTAATATTAAATACTTCATTTTTTATTTTTACTTAAAAAGTATATTATAAATAAAATAATTTCAAATAAAATTAAAATATTATTTTTTTGAAAAAGATATATCCCCAACCCCATCATATTTTATTATCACCCGACATATTTTAAATAAAATAATTTCAAATAAAATTAAAATATTATTTTAAAAAAGATATATCCCCGTCATATTTTATCATCACCCGCCATATTTTATATTTTTCTAATAAATTTTATCAAGACAACATTTACGCATTTTATTTATAAAACCTACGAGTTTTATTTATTGAATATATATATTATCTTTAGGTATTTACTAACGTCTATTATAGATTTAGAGAATAATTTACACAGAGTTATTGAATTGCCAAATATAAATGATCTTTTAGTTTTTCCTCAGCACTGTGTAATAATGTTCATAATTTGGTAATATAGATTTTCTTCAATGGGGCTTATTAGTAGCAGCAATAATTCACTTAAAATTTAAGCTTAATTGGCCTCATATCAAACTGCTATAAAATCTGTTGGTAAAAAATAATTTCATTTGGAAAACCTGCAGGATCAACCATACGCTGATGCTTATTGAAATTATTGTGAATTAAATTGATACTTTCGTTGGGAAAATTTATTCACAATATGCATTTTCCCGTAATAATTTCTTTTATTTAAATAATTAAATTAATATTTTAGTACTTTGCTATCTAGCGCTCATGAGGAGCGCTTGTTTAGTAAAGCATGTTCTTATTGAAAGATGTGGATGTTTGAATGATAATAATTTAGTTTTCATTATTAAGGGCTTAACAAACTTGAATATGGTTATGCAGCAAATTTTTTTTGAGATCATCAATGTCAGACTCTGACATTCCTCTTTTAATAAAATATAATTAACCCTATATCCCATCTAGTTCTCCCCGCCGTATATTTAAAGTATCCTCCTTATAACTACTTTTTATAAAATATAATACATCAATCCCCTTATAGTTCTCCCGCACACCACATGGTTTAATAAAAAGTTTTAAACATCCTCAAAAAAAAATTCCGATGCTAAAAATTTTTTTTTATTGAGTTTGAAAGTTGACAATCTTTTATCTAATAGCAGAATGTTTATGGTTCCCTAAGGAAAATTATTTATAATCACATGACCTGTCAGATTTGATAAGTTATTAATAAAAATGATTTAATTTAATTATAAACCATTTATATCTTAACGCTAGACCAAATCTCTCAAATCTTTAATTAACCCATATCTCTCAAAATTTTGATCCTAGATACTTATCACCCAATTAAAAAATTTCCTTGAATTGGTTTACTATCATACAAAATATTTAATTAAATGATAGTTAAATTTTTATAATACATAATACAATATAATAATCAAATAATTTATAAATAATAATTGTTAGATTTCAGTAATAGAACGTTCTAAAATATATAATCGTTATCTGTAATAACATTTTTATCCAAACTAAAAACTCCCTTTAGCGGGGGTAGATTGGTGCTATACTTTAAGAAAAAAATATGATATTAAATTAATTGCTTCTTCATTTTATCGATCTACAATAAGTTGGAAAACTTTAAATATTTAATCAACTAAAATTTAAAAGCATGTTGTCGTCATCCATTGCTTAAAATAAAAATTGTTTGTTGTTTTTGGAATCATATTTTTATAAATATATACGGGTCCGACTGTGAACCCGAAAAATTAAAAAAAAATGATTGACTGACAAAAAAAATGCAATTTTTAAATAAAATATAATTGAAAGCCTATCGACCTTGAGAAAATTCTTAGGGTGGGGCTCAGAGACCCTAGAGTTTAAATAAAAACGTTATTACTTAAAATCTTGTATGACGGTTTAGATTTTTTTAAAACTTAATAATTTTGACTAAACATGGGTATTCAAAATGTAATTTACTCTTGATGAGTGCTCTTTGAGATATCAAGGATTTTTTAATCAATTTTATTAGCTCAAATTTTTATACATGAAATTTTTATACATGCTTATAATACTATAAATGGAATTTTGGGCTAAGATGATGGTAAAAAAATTATAATTTAATTTTATGTTTTAAACCTATTTAATTGCGCATATCTTATTTAAGAAACGCACACCATATGAAAAAACTTTATAAATGTGTAGGTAAAATATTTTAAGAGATATTTCAAAGGTGATATTATAAAGAACATATTATATATCAATATAAAATGTGAATCAATTATCCATGATTAATATTTAAATATTTATCCACATTTATGAATTGTGTTTTTTCAAAAATCGTTATTTATTTTTTAAAAAAATGTTTTATTAATAACTGCTATGCACTACAAAATAATGAAAAATTAATCACAAAAATTATTTTTTTGCTTATAGTTTAGTTTTAAAAAGGAGTAGGAAAATATAAGCTTTGATCAATAACTGTTCTTTTTTGAAATAGTAAGCAATACCCATATTCCTTGCATGGATAGGAGTATAATAAAATAATTTTACATTTTGTAGAAGTATGCCTCCACCCAGATAAATATTTAAAAAACAAGATTCCCTCCACAGCCGAGTTTGAGAAAATGCCTCACTGCCTGAATTCCCGAATTCGATCGGATAGGACAGATCCATCCAAGACTCAACTATAATCCCTTAATCCTCATTCAGTTAGCGCTAATTTGCGGCGAAGAATAGAAAAATGCAGCATATATTGTAAAATTCGCCACGAATTTGCTTATATTTAATATACATCGCTGTGAATTTGCGCTAACTATGATCCTAAAGTCAAAATATAAACAAATAAGAAATGAGGCGAAATGAAACTCCGTAAATCATTAAATATATAATTTATCAAAAACATATTAATGATTTATTTGACTTAAAAAAAATCGTCAAAATAAATGTAAGAATTCTGTGATTATGATATAATAATATAATTTCCGTTTAAAAAAATACCGTTTAATTATAACTGTAAAATTGAAAAATGTCATGAAGAAATTAAATGTATGGAGTTTTAAATTTATAATTAGTACTAGAGTTGTTAAAAAGCCTGATTCGGGTCGATTTTTATAAATGACCAGATTAATATCTTAGCAAAAATAACGATGTCGGAATTGGACCTCTATTCGCCAAATCTTCTTTCTTTCTTTCTTTCTTTCTTTCTTTCTTTCTTTCTTTCTTTCGTATATAATACTATTAGAGTCGTTTTAAAAAACTGACCCGAATCGGGCATTTTTTTAAAAAAACCCTAATTAATACTGAAGAATAAAGATAAACAATGGTCAAAACATACTATCAGAAAATAAACAAAATTATATAAATTGAAACCGATAAAATTTTAAAATAAATTAACACAATTAGTTAAAATATTGGCACAAAAGTTCATAAAGAGATTGGCGCATTAGGATTATTAAATATTATATTTTCTTTAAAATGATAAAACATGGTTGTTTACTAGTTTAATTAGAAAACGATGTTGAAATTATTTTTTTAGTATTAAAAAAATAAAAATAATTGTAATTCTTGTTTTTTTTAAACTAAATAAAATAATATAAAGAGCAAAAAAACAGAAAAATTTTGAGCAAAATAAAACTAGTTTTAAATTGAGTTGGATCAGCTGATAGTTCTATATAATCGTAAAACAATTACACTAAAAAAATGGGCGTCAAAATCCGCGAAATGTAACGAGAAATGTTTATACGACAAAAATGTTTTAAAAATTATTGGAAGAAAAAGCAAAATTTTTTGGGATGGTGAAGTTATAAAGATCTATCGTCAAATCTGACGACCAATCCCTGTCAAATAATTGCTCCAATTGACTCCTAAAATCGTCGGTGACGTGTAAATTTTCGTAATTCTGCGTGGTGCCGTTAATCAAAGGTTTTATAATTATGCCCACCCCGCCAGTCCATAAAAAGTAATCAGCGCTCCAATTCGAAGTCCCTATTATTAATTTATTTATTTTAAATATATATATATATATAGTATATAAATACATTTATATTAAAAATGAATAATGAATTTATTAAAAAAAAAAATTTTTTACCAATGTATGCGGCCGAATCAGTGACCATTATTTTATTATGATTGACTCTAGCGTAGGGGATTTTCTTTTGTTTGTCGTTGAATGATGGTATCACCAAAATCCTCTTAATTAACGATGAAAAAATTAAAACGAAAACATTTTTTATTTTAAAATTTTCCGATTAAAATTTGAGAGGTTTTGCAATCGGCAAAATTCTCATGCCCAGCCGGGTGAGAATTTAGTTTTTGCCCAGCCTGATTTCAATTTTTTTTACTAAGGTTGGCTGGCCTGGTTTTTAAATATTTTTTTCTTTAAGTACAAGGCCTTAAACCAAAAATATATGTTGTTGAACACTCAAAAATAAACAATTCATAATCTTGGGAAGTGTGGTTAAATTAACGGATTCTCAATTTCCAAAAATATCAGAATTCATCAAATATATATAAAAAAATTTGCCAGATTTTAATTAACCCAGCTCATTATAATTTTTTTGTTTCAGAAGTGGTAATGGGCCGGCTTTGCAGATTTCTGTTTTAAATATAAAATCCAATCTGCTTAATTAGATTTATAAAATAATGCTATATTATGGGATTTTTGGAGGATAAGAATCAGACCAGGCTAAAATTATTATGAATAGTAAATAACACATATATTTTTTTAAACTATTTGTATATCGGCTAATCCGGTAAAAGTCAATTCGTAAAGCGATTTTAAGAAATGGAGAGTCTTGGGATTAGAATGTTCCCACCAACTGATTAGCATTCTTATTTTGATACCCCTGTTAAGAGCGGCCTCTCTTAAAGCGTTGTCTATTATCGGCCAGTATCTTAAAAGATAGGAAAGAAAGGAAAAAGTAAAATGATTTTAAAAATAAAGATTCAGGAGTCCATTGAAGGAAAGCTCTAAGTGAAATTCCACATTCACAAGTATGTAATATATTTTTTTAAATGGTTATAAATTCATATTTATTATAAATATCTTCAACTGTAATGTAATAAATAAAATTAAAATGAAGAACTTTGGTGGTGTGGTAGATCTGAATTAGAAACTCGACTTAAATTATTTTATAAAATTTAAAAAAATTATAATTATAATAAAATATATTTTTTCCCATATTTTTTAAGAAAATATTTACGTGCGTTATCGATAATCAAAAAAAGAAACGCGTTACACGTTACTTTATAAAATAAGTTAAGAATGGTGTTTCTTTTCCTCAAAAAAAAAAGGAACGCAGTTAGTAATGATGTTACTTTACAGCACTAGCCTTATTATTTCGGCAATTCGATTATAGAAAGGATGATGAATATCCTTATTAACTTATTTATTCAAATTAAACTATAAATTTAAAAAATAAATTAGTCCAGTATATTTTCTCGTCAAGTACCTGAAAATGACATTGTTCAAATAGGATAAAGGTTGAGATAAGTCAAATTAAATGAAATTTTGGTCTGTAGTTACATAATTATGTAAGAAATGAATTAATATTTACTGGAAGGATGGAAGATACAATGTTCCTGGCATGTATTCCATGACAGATATGTGGACATACTTTTGAGCATTATTTATAACGTCCAGTATTCCGTCTATATCATTCGAACGATCTTTACCATTCAAAATCGGGGGAGAACTCTAAGAATACGGAATTTTGGTTAAAAAAATTATGGCCTATTGCTAAAAAGAAGGAAATAGCAAGAGGATGAATATTAATGCTGGAACATTAAAATTTATTATATATCTATCCGTATAATAATGGTTTTATAAACTAATGGGTAGGTAAAAGAATTTTTCCTAAAACCATGGGTATGCGAAAGGGCTAAAACTTAAAAATGACGGAAGTGGGGAATTGTAGTCTAAAACCTGCTAATTGTAGACTCTAAAACCATATAATAATTCAAAGATAAGCAAAAATTATTATAATTTTATAAGTTATTAAAAAACCATACCGAAATATAGACGTTATACATCGTTCCATCTATGCTGCTGATGACAGCCGGCTGAGTTACGTTATACGAAGCAGTCATATTGTCCGGCCAAGGTGGCAAGATAGTCGCCTGATTACGTGTCAATAGATTTTCCTGATTATTTGTCGCTAGAGGCAGTTCGCGTGATGCACTAACCAACCAATAGGATTCGAATATTTTTCGAACATCTCGGGCTAAGCATGCACAATCACGGGCTAGGACCCCGACTTCTTTTACCTTTTAAAACAAATATATTTATAGTGAAAGGTGTAGGGAATCAACTCCCAGGGATAAAAATATGTTTTGATCTAGGCTTTGATGTCAGGCTGTCTCAATATACCTCCTACGGCTAAAGCTAAGTGATTTACACTTTTTTAAATATTTCTAACAAGTCACGTCGTTAAGAGGATGCATAGACTTAACTCCTTAAAACTTTAAACTAGAGGTCGGCATTGGGCGGGGTTTCAGTCCGCCCCTTCATCTAAGTGGGCGGACGGATGGGCGGGTAAAAAAATTTTCAAGAATGGGCAGGTGGGCGGGTTAAAAAAATTTTGAAACTATGGGCGGGTTAAGAAATTTTAACAATGGGCGGGCGGGTTAAAGAAATTTAAAATTTTTGTTCAAAAACAAACTAAAGAAAAATCATAATTAATTAAATTATCAATAATAATATTTCTTTTTTTATAATACCAATCGTTTTTTTTAAGTGAAGAACACTTTACTAGTTTTTCTACATTTTTATCTAATTGTTCCCAACATATATAATGTCTCATAATGGATTTCATTGATGTAATACCCTGATTTCCCGTATGCTATATATGTAAAACTCTTTTTTGAAGTGAGTACGGAATGATTAATCTGCCATTACAAAATAAAATACCGTCATCATTTTCTATTTCATCTATTCTTGTTCTAAAAGCTAGTAATTCTGGTGCTTGATTTTGTATATTTGTACCATTTCTTAATATTTTTACTTTCTTAAAATTGGATCTTTTGCGGTTTCCTCTCTAAGTTCTTTTCTTGATAGAGTTAATGTGTCATAAGTAAGATTTCTTATATATTTCACTGTTTTATTTTCGCTTGTTATTCTATCATCATTTTTCTCTATTGGGTTTGGCGATAAAGCATCTGCAATTATATTATTAGCGTCATTTTTGCACATTATATCATAATCATATGCAGATATTATAGGACCAACGTAATAATCTTTGGCTTGTTAATGAGCTTAAATCTCTGCTATTACCAGGTTTGTGGTCTGTTCGTATTTTAAATTTTGGTTCATACAAATAGTTATGAAATTTTTCTACGCCGTTTATTATTGCTTTTGCTTCTTTGTCTATTGTAGAATAATTCTTTTCAGCGTCTTGTAAAATTCTTGAGTGTAAGCTATTGGAAATTCGTTACCATTATCATATTTTTACATGTGTACAGCTCCAAATCCTTGGTTAGATGCTCCTGTTACTAATATTAACTCGAGGTCCGATTTATAAAACTAATTTTTGTTCTGTTCCGAATAGCATGAAAACGATTAGAAAAATAGCACGGTATTTTATTTTGAAATGGCAAATTAATCATTCCGTATACTTCAAAAAAGAGTTTTACATATATTGCATACGGGACATCCGGTCTCACTTGAGGAAGAGGATATACTTCAAACGGATATTCTACTTTGGTGGAAACGACAAGAAAGAGATTTGCCAATGTTAAGATTAGCAAGAAAATTATTGGCAATTCCTGCAACTAGTGCTGGTCCAAAAACCCGTCCAATGCAGACCTCTACTTTAAACCCTCCCCCTACAAGAAATTTTAAACTATTAGATATAAATTGTTATCTTTCTTTTTGCCCCCCCCCATCCCCGACAGGTGACAGTCATATAAATCATATTAAACTTCAAACAAAGATAAATTTTAATTCCTTTAAAAAAAAAATAATTCTTGGATAAATAATATTTCACTTGAGTAAGGGATCGCCAATCCATGTTAGCGCTGCCTATGTAAAAATGGGTATCGTCGAATATCCACAGCTTGGTGTGAAGGATACCGTAGTTAGAAAATTTACGGAAATCAAGCTTCCTCACCTTGGCGTTCGCTAAATATTATTTTATTTTTTTCGTGGATCACAAAATTAAAATTACTTGTTAATCATATTTTTTTTAAAAATATTTTCTTTTTCTTGATTTCTTTTTTTCTTCTTTTTTAAATAAAAATGTTTTAAAAGTTATACCCGCTTGAGCTAATATAGAAGTGTCCGGAGTCTCGCGAGCATAATTCTGAACAATCCTCAAATCTATCGCTCTATTCAGACTTGCGTCATATAAAGAATCGAATATAGATTGGCCCTTGAAAAAAAAATAATGTATGAAAATATATCTTTCTTAATATTTGGTGAGTTTTAAAAATGATAATTAATATTCAACGAGGATTTCAATTCACAGATTTAGCAAAATAAATTTATATTATATTCCAATCGTTTCGCGTAATATTTATGATTTGTCTCAAATATATCATTGTCGAATTTTAAAATGAGACATTTGGGAATTCCTGAGGTCCAATTAATTGGATAAAATTTGAATTTCAAATCGTTCTTTGTTTCTTTCGTCGAGGTAAGCTTTCCCCGTTTTTGACATTTTACCCGATGACCAGAAGGGTAATAGATATCCCCACGGCGGTATGCGGGAGACATATACATTTTTTTAGAGATACAGGAGCCTCAGGGGAGGGACTCCATAAGAATTGTTCTTTTTAGAGCAGGGCTCCAAGATTTTTGCGATGAGCCTTTGCCAATTTAGCCCAACAATATTGTTAAACGGCTCGATTTTTTAAAAAAGGATCAACACAATATTTTAGTCAAAAAATGTTACGCCAGCCTGGAGATTTTGCTCAAGGAGGAGGAAGGGTTTGGAGATTTATTGCCGAAATCTAGAGAATTGCGCAATATTATTTTGGTTTAAATCTTCCTTTAATATTGGCTAAATCGAGTCGTTTAACAACACTAATCCCGACGATGTCGATTTATTTTATAACGCGCCCCTACCTCCTACCACTAAATCAATTTTAGTCTTTTGTCATACTTCATAAATGTCTCTACATAAAACTGAAAAATATAATATATTGGATTTTTTCTCCCCATTTATAAAATAATAAGAAAAAAATGTCCAATAAATTAAATATTTCCCACTTGTCAACGACCAAAAAAAAAGAATTAATTATTTTTTTCTTATATATTATGATGATTGATGTGTAATATGTTTTCCTCAATTTTTGGACGATAAAAATGAGACCAGAGTCCCGTCGTAATTGGGCGCTTGGTAGTCACCATATCATAAAAAGACAATAGGATTGGTGTAACTAATATTGAGAATATAATGCGTAATCTAAAAATGAGTGTCTGCCCATGAAGGCAAGATGTCGGCCTGGTCACGTGCCAAAAAGTTTGGCAGGTTAAATTTTTATACTAATAAGAATTTGCGTTAAAATGGGAAAAATATGGTAAGATTCATGAGAATAAATTATATTGATTTTTCCTCCTCCACATTTTTTTTTGTCTTGTGGATAGTTTTGAATAATTTAATTTTCTAACAAAAATGGATTTGATATTTTTTTGTATATATATATATATACTTTTTTTTCCAATTATAAAAATAGAGAACAGACAAGGAGGGACAATAAATCACCACCAAATTTTAAAGAATCGTCCACTAAAAACTTTACACTGTAGGGGAGACCGGGGTAAAACGATAGGCATTTTGCATATTTACCATAAAAATTTTAAACAAGAGTCAAACACAACAAATTATAGATCAATGTGTAGCCCCATCTCTCTTCTACAAGATAAAAAAAAGTGTAGCCCTCTACCTATAATATTTTAGGAGCTATGATTAGTTATGTAAAACTACTCATTTTCGCCATTTTACCCTGGGTACAGGGTAAAATGGATAAGCACTAGGGTAAAGTGGTTAAAATAATATTTGACACATATTGTTTTATTTAACAAATATTACAAATTTAAGATTTATTTATGATTTTTATTTAAAAACTAATCGATACAATAAGGACATGTAAAATAATTATCATAATTAGCACATTTAGAGTGTGCCCATTCAAGGCACATTGTACATTTTAGCCATTCATCGCCCTCGCGACTATTTTTATAGTTTTTATTACAAATAACACATAAACAATTATTTTTTGATATCTTTTTTTTTCTCTGAATTAATAATTTTTTTTTATAAGGTGTAGATGTTAATATTTCTGAATTCTTTTTTTTAGATATTTTATCCGATGAAATATTGAATAATTTTGGAATAGGTATTATAGATGAAGGATTGAATACTTTATTATAATTTTTTGAGCATGATGGTAACATATCATGATAAGGTTCATCAATATCATCTGGAACATTTTCGTTCAATAATATAGATAAATCACTATCATTATTTTGAGTCACTGTAATATTTTCATCATTATTTTCAAATTCAATATTTGAGTTAGCATTTGAATTATTACAGCAGATATAATCTTGTTCTGTAAATATATTTGGGTTTAAAGGAAATATGTCACATGCTAAGAATCCATTTAATATATTATTTGATGTCACTGCCCTTGGTATTTCATTTTTTAACACTCCTGGATTATCATAAATCTGAAATTGTTGCCCCACATGATTTTTAGATTGAGCATTATTAAAATTATGAAATACAATATAATTTCAATTGAGCATTTTTATTAAAGTTACCAAATTAATAATATTTAGATTGAGCATTATTAAAATTATGAAATAAAATATAATTTCAATTGAGCATTTTTATTAAAGTTACCAAATTAATATTGATATTTAGATTGAGCATTATTATAATTATGAAATACAATATAATTTCAATTGAGCATTTTTATTAAAGTTACCAAATTAATATTGATATTTAAATTGAGTTATTAAAATTATGAAATACAATATAATACAAACAATATAATTTAATTACTTGTTTAAGCGTTAATCCCATAAATGACCTACTTGCTTCTAATATGTAGTCACACAATCTAGATTCTTCTTTATTTGTAAATATTTGTTTATGATGATCTGAACTTTTAATACCAATTTTACATCTCCTTCTCAACGTTGTATAAGGTATGTTAAATTTTTAAGCAGACAAATTTAATGAAGTATTATTTGTTATTTTATATTTTATGGCTTCATTTATTATATTTACATCTCTGTATATGGTTTTTCTTTTATAATTTCTCATTATTTGATTGATACAATAAAAATTATAATAAATGAATTAATGAAAAATTAATGAAAAATTAATGTGAATAATTTTATATTTTAACCGTTTTACCCATAACAGCTTTACCCCTAGGTGACATATATTATAAATATCGTTATTGCGTGACTTCTAATATAGCTAAAGATGTCAGATAAATTTTATTTTATAGCTAATACATTAAGGAACATGTGTGCCAAATTTTGAATCCTGAGGATATGTAAATTTTACTAAAAGCAAAATATACTAGAGAATGAATTTTATATTTTTTGGGTAAAAAACAGTTTTTTGACAAAATATATAAAACCAGGTAAGTTTCTTAAAAGATGAACATAGGTAAGAAATTAGATATAAAAATACATCTTCACACCAAATTTAAGGTCTTTATACTCAATGGTTAAAAAGTTATTCGCGTTAACATTGTTAACCCGTCAATCGCTTTACCCCGGTCTCCCCTACTTCAAACGATAATTGCGAATAAATTTAGTAAAAGCATATCAAGTATGTCTATTCGTATTGTTAGAAATCATTTAACTTTTATTTACATTCTTTTAAAGTAGCATATCTAGAATTATACATCAGGTAGAGGAGAGGGGGTCAAAAATTATAGGAGTTTAAATTACCAGTGTAGGGTATTCATAATTTTAAGAAAATCTGATTTTATTTTAAATTAAGATTTCGCTATTTTTTTTAAATGGAAATCGTATGTTAAATCATTTTTTGAAATTTTTTAGAATTATATTTTGGACAAGTTTTTATTTTTATATTTAAAATAGTTTATTTATTTATTTTCATTTAAAGTTTCGAAAGTTTGTGAATTTAATTTTTGATGTTTTGGAGAGTGCATAACTCCTCATTATTAATTAGCTTGAATTCGCGGCGTATCATACAAAATATGTTGTGCTTTGGTATTATCCGCCACGAATTCGTGATATGTGAATGCAGGGTAAGGAAGATAAAAAAAAAGGGGGTATTACAAAGATAAAATAGATTGATTTGTTTTAATGGTTCAGATAAACGTATTTAAATCCCATTTATAAATATATAGTTTATTTCGGAGAAGGGGGGGGGGGCAAGAATTATGTGATCATAATAAATTTTCATATTAAGTGGCCAACATCAAATATATATTTTCATTTTCAAATGTCCGACTGACACTCCCCTTAAATAAGCCAATGGCAGTATCAAAAATCAAAATCGTATATCAAAACTTACCTTTTAATGTAGAGATAAATTTTTTTAATACAAGCTTATTTACTCAAATGAATTATAATCTATGTAAATCCGAGCGAGTTATTAAAGTATCTAGATACAAAGATGTTGTATCGATCTCTTGCCAGCTTGGATAAAAGTGACCTCGTGGGTCATCCAAGGATAACAATCTCGTGGCCAGTTCTAGGATAATGGTGACCTCATGGGCCATTCAAGCACAATGTCGACCAATCTACAATGGATTAGATAACGATTCTCAGGTGGGAGAATACAGTGGCTTCGATAAGGATACTCAGCAGGGAGATCAAATATACAACGGCCTCAATATCGATACTTCGATGGGAGATTAAGCATACAATGGAATAAATAATAATACTCCAGATGGGAAATTAATCAACAATAGAATTGATATGAGTACTCTAGAGGGAGATCCATCGATATTGATGCACTGATGAGAGATCAATCAATAAGGGAAACGATATTTATATGAGATCAATCAACAAAGGAAACGATATTGAGTGATCTGCATTGGGCCTAATTTTTTAAGCCCCCGGCTAGGCCCAAAATTTTTTTAAAAAATTTTTGCCAGCCTGATATTCTAAATTTTTTTTTTAAAAATTTACTAGCCTGGCCCTTATTTTAATATAGAAATTAATTTTTATAATTACTCAAAATAAATTATATATGTTACATCTAATTTCTATAAATAAAATTAAATATTTTTATTTTACATAAAAATTCAACATACAATTGATAAATTTAGATAAATTAAAATAATTTCCAAAACTCAACCTGACCCAACCCATATTTTTTAAAAAATATTAGGCCCAGCCCAGTTCAAACTCGATTTCTTTTTTAAAAAATAGAGGTACAGGCCAGGCCTACTTTTGCATATATTTAATTGATAGTCTATGAAAGATCCGTACCAATTCTTAAGACAAAGATTTTTTAGGAGAAACTAAGTCATGGATGCCTCTAGGAGATGTAGGCTTCCTTTCTATTAATGAGGGGATAAGTAGTAATGTAGAAATATATTTTAATATATATACATTATGAATTATTAAATTTGAGATATAATTATATATATATTTATGATTTAATATAATATTGGGTGATATTAAACTAACACCCGTATCATCTATTATGATGTAATATACAGATTATTATTCTATTTATTATAGCATCTTCCATAAATGGGCTCTATTTAGAATAACTGACAAAAATACAAAATGTATTCACACATTGCAAAAAAATATTTTAATAACTATATTTCAGCCAAAATATGAAATATATACTAATAGATATTAATCGATATTTCTATTGTATTATAAATGGTGCATTATATTATAAAATTTTTAAAAAATAGCGCTTTCCATCCACAAATCTGTGAACAGAATGAATCCTGTCTAAAAATGACAGTTTGCTCCTTTATTTATAATTAACAATAATATGGAATAAAACAATAAGAACACTAAAAATTTAATCATAATTTACCTCCCAACTCGAATTATCATTAAAAACATTACTGCTTCTTAATGTCCAATATGATGAAGCTATACATATATTTTTTTTTGAATCATCAATTAGTTTTTTCCATACATCATAAGTTAAATTTGAATGAAGAGTTGAATTAAAATTAATTCCTTCTGGAATACTTTCTACCAATGTAAAACTTTATATTAAACAGAAATTGTGAAATAATATTTGATTTTATACCTGCAGTGATCTTTACAATGTTCTATATGAACATTTTTAGGAGATTCTTTTTGTAGAAATGGGAATAACAGCAAAATAGTAAGTAAGGCTATGCAAACGAATATTGAAACACATGATGGCCTTGGAAATTTTCCTTTTACAATGTAGAGAAACCTACATATCGTGGGTTTTTCCAATTCTTTATAAATAATGTAGGTTCTGTCATCCATATGATTTTAGTAACGAATGACAATAAGGGTACCTTCAGACAGACAGATGTTTGGTATTTTATATGTATAAAAATATTTATAAAATAATATTGTACTAATGTCTAAGTTTTAAATTGCCATATATTAAAATGGGAAAACAATATTTATACATAATGTCTACTAATCAGGTTTTTTCTATATTATTTTTCTTACGTTTGGATTTGTAACATTGGTGTATATTTGATATTGATTATATTATTTGTAAAACCCATGATGAATGATGTTTAATTTATTTAAAAGAATTATATATCAATATTATTTTGATTTTTATTGTTTTTTATTTATCATATAAAAAGGTTGAAATTTGCCTAATAATATATATTTTCATTTATTTATATTAAAAATAGAACTTATAGAAAAAAGTGTAGAGTATTTATTAAATAAAATTATTCTCCAAGAATATAAAGGCGATAAAACCATTATAGTAAATAGATCATATACTCTCCATTTTAAAAAAAAGATTTTATTAATATTTTCACTTTTTTGCATACTTTTTAATTGAATGTAGATCTTGATTTCTGAATCTTTCCGGCTGGGCTGGGTATATTAAACCCTAAAAATTCAAAATATAGTTGATCTTTAAATATGTTTAATAAGTAAATTTTGCAAATAGAGGATTATTACAATTATATAGATTGTACGAATTGTTAAATTAATTTGGAAATCGTGGTCAATTTACCACAGCAGTCATAGGCGAGCCGAGCGAGGGGGGGGGACAAGGGGAAATCCCCCTAACTTTAAAAATTTATCACTTTTTGTGAATATCCTTTTAAGCTAATTAATAATATCCCCTTTAGTCGTCCCCCTACAACCTGACCCCCAAAAATGTATGCATATATCTTAAACAATAATTTGAGAAAGAATGTAAAAGTTGATATTTTTTTAAACCAAAACTATTCATCATAATTTATACATTTTCGGAAAAAAGCATTTATATATAAAAAAAGTGAACCAAAATGTTTGTAAAGAAATGGAATATAAGCTAAAGATAAGTCTTAAGACAAAAGTGAAATGTATTATAATTATATCAATAAATCCATCTTCAAATAACTAAATAATATAATATATCAAATATAATTTTTTATAAAGTGAGTAATTGTAATTTATTTATCCTAATAAAAGTAAAATATAATTATAAAACTATTGATAAAATTAAATCATAAATTAAATAAAAAAATTAGAGCACAATACAAACAGTGGAATATTATATGTCGCATATTTACAGTATATCTAATTTTATCAATTATCATATGACAATCAAGTAATTTTTACCAATATAGCTAATTATATATTTTACAGAAAACAATAAAGTATTGATGAGGACATCAGAAAATATCTTTTAAAACATTGTGGGATGAATAATATGAAGATTAATTTTAAATATCATTTTTTATCTAAAATAAATATATGGCGTTAAATATTTGTATGCATATTGTTGCTATATTTATTATCAGGAGCATTGATTAGTAAAATTTGTTAAAATATTAACTGTAATATATTCTCTAACTGTCAAATATGTCTGTAAAAATGGAATTTTACCTAGTATTTTGTAACCAATTCTATATAATAGAGGAATATCAACTATTTGTCTACTTACTTTTTATAAATAAATTTCGAATACTTGTTTGGAATAATTATTACCATGCTTTTATATTTATGTATATACAAGTAATTTATTATATTTTATATAAACTAACAAAAATATATTTTATATTTGTTCCAGGCTTATTTTTATTATTAAAATTATCCTCCTATCTTATGAAAATTATTTTAGACTATATAAAGACTAACGTAACTCGGCCGAAGGCTGAGCAAAAAATCCTCCCCCCCCCTTAGGAAAATCCTGGCTACGCCTATGAAGCAGTCGTTCTATAATACTATACTGATTAATTTTATTTAAAATTTATATCTGACTCGGTTCAAGCTTTTTTTAAAACATATTAGACCTGACTTAGGATCACCAATGTCTATCCACCTGTTTTTTTACATGTCTAAATATTAAGATTTCCTTTATTTTTATTTTGAAAATTTGAAAAAATCACTATATATTTTAATCGAACAATTTAAGAACGATTTTAGCCACATGACCAATATCTAAAGTGCAAAATCTAATGGAACAGAGTGCATATCCCAGTCTAGGAATACTTACAAATATAAGGAAGTATGATATCGATCTGTAAAAAATTAAAGATACAAAAGTTGCATAGTTATATTCTATTTCCAATTTTTGATAATAGACTTATTTTCAATATAATATACTTTATATCATGTTAAAGGGCTATTATGGAACTATTTAATTTAATTGTGGTTTTAGATTTATATTATTAATTTGTTAGTTTTGATATATTATAAATATTTACTATTTATTACTTTTAATTTCTTTTGAGAATAAAAAAAATAGAGAAAATATAAAATATTATTTAAATAAGAATTTTCATATAATAGAGTATGAATATTAAAAAAAATATACAACAATTTAGTATGGCCAATTAAAACATTTATTATTTAAACAAGCGTTGTCATATAATAGAATATGAATTTAAATATTAAGAAAAATTAACAAAGATTTAGTAAGGGTAATTAAAACACTAAAGTTGACCATATCTCAGAAAGTAAACTGATTTGGGGATTAAAATTTTAGATTTTCACTAGTTAGTGTATAATATGTATATACTACCATCATACAAATTTTAAAAAAATTGAAGGGGATTGGGTTAAATCTTCAGTTAATTTGATATGAATAAAAAATATCTATATAATATTTATATTAATATTAATATTTTATGTTTTGTTTATATTTAAATTTATTTATATATTTATATTTATCAGACTTGTTAAAATGGATTATAAATCTATCTAAAAAATATATATCTTCTAAAAATGGTCCTAAATACAGGTGCCGATACATCCTCTGAAAAATATCCAGATGCAGATACAATTATAAAAATGTATCTGTAAACAGATACAATTTTAATCATATATAGAATTAGCCGTTATTCTCATACAAAAACTCATATTATGAGAGCACAAAATACGTTAACAACATTTTTATATTATGGTTTCAATTCTAACACGATATAAAAGAATAATAAAAATTTGTCAATGTCCCTTATTTTACCGTCATTCAAAACAATTCTCATTTAAATTGAGCATTTAGTTTAAAAACATTTTTTACATTAAAATTATAATTATTCTTTTAATGTTAGCGGAATATCTATAAAATTATTTTCATATGTTTTAGTTAATTTAACTGCTAAAAATAATTTTATTCATCAATGGTATTGTCTATAATCAATGAGCGTAATGGCTAAGCAAAGCAATAATTTATATATTCCTTTACATGTCAAGAAAACAATTAATAATCAACAATAGTATCTTATAATTTAATATTACCTCAATTTCATCCTTATATCAATATAAAGACATTTCAGATAAATACAAAATATGTTTAAATACACAACATGTTCTGTCTGTTCTAAAAACATTTCTGTTACCAAAAATGGGAAAATAGCGACCCATGGCCCTCGGAAAAATAGATGTCCTCTCTCAGGTGTCTCACTATCAATAGCCCAAATAGACCTCCCTTCATACAGCTACCCTGTTTTAAATAATGATATGATACACTCTCCCAACCTCTGGAATGCTCTACCAATAATTCTCCAATCCCATTTATATAACACACTACCCTTGATTTCTAGGATTCCCTAAGGAGTTAGAACACTCACAGCCAATAAACTTAATATGACTATTTAATCATTCAACAATAATATCACCAATGCTGACAACTGGAAAAAACTCTTTGACTTTTGTTTTACCCACTTGAAGGCTCCATCAACAAAATTGAACTTAACAAAACAAATTAAGTGTCAATTAAACAACCCAATCCCTAACAGCAATGCCTCTTGCTCAAGACCTAACTATAATCGTAACATCCCAAATTTAAAGGCTAAACTTATCAGCCGTAAAATTAACGCATGTAATATTAAAGCAGCTTTAAATTTAGCAGTGTCCGAAGACACCATATCCCCTGACAATTTGGACACTATACTCTTATTACCTATACATCCCCAAGATTTTAATGAATTACCACCACCACCTCTATCCATTCCTACTCCTCCTTTAACTGTCATAGAAGTTACTAAGGCAATAGTCTCTTTCAGAAAAGACTCCTCAAGAGGACTTGACGGTTTTAGAGCTATATACCTTCAGGACCTTACCAAATCAACAACCACCAACATTGAACTTATACACAACATAACATCTCTACTTAATCATATTTTAAACGACAACATACCTTCTACAGTACAACCTCTTATTCACGGTGCACGCTTAATAGCCTTAAACAAAAAAGATGGCGGCAATCGCCGTCGGCCCTATTTTCCGTTGAATTATATCTAAAATTATTTGTACGCGCATTAAAAGCAAGCTCACCGAGCGATTAGTTCCCCATCAGCTTGGCTTCAACATACCTTCGGGTTGTGAAGCAGCCTCCCAAGCCATACGTATCCAACTTCACTCCACTAAAAACTGCATACTAAAAGTGGATTTTAAAAACGCCTTTAACTCTTTAAAACGAGAACACTTACTCCCTATTTTCTGCGACGCTTATCCAGAATATTCTCCATATCTTTTTGCCTCTTATAAAAATTCATCCTACCTTAAATTCAACAATACAATAATTGAATCAAGGCAAGGCATTCAACAGGGTGATCCCCTTGAACCCGCCCTTTTTTGCCTAGGTATCCAGTCAATCATTGAATCGATAAATCGTGAGAAAATAGCGCCTATAATAAATAATCTAACCAATATTACAGGGTTGTCTCTTTATAACAACAAATGCGAATTTTATTCACCAGATGAAACCTTTATCGTTCCTCATAACTTCACATCCATTAAACTATCCGGGTTCACACATCTTGGATCTCCAATAGGCGGCAATAAAGCAATCGAATATTTCAAAACAAAATTTCTCCGTAATTTCCACCTTTTACATAAAATCCTTCAAGTCCTTCACTCCCATCAAGCTTTCTTCCTTCTCAAAAACTTTATCAATCAAAAATCCAACACGCCTTCCGCTCTGCCCCACTTTTCTTATACCCGGAAATTCTCACCCAAATAGAATCAACAATCAAAGACTCTTTAGAAGGCATTCTTAATATAAAATTCAGCCCTAATTCTTGGATGCAGGCCTCCTTACCCTCGAAATTTGGGGGTCTTGGCTTAAGATCACTCGCGAAACTCAGCCTTGCTGCCTTTTTAGCCTCAGAATCAAGCTCCCGTTTAATTATTCTATCACTTAAAAATAACCCCACAGACCCCCATCTTCCCCACGCCCTAGCAATCTGGAAAGAGAATTCCTTCTCCGCTCCAATCCCCACATCATGAAAGCAACATGAGTGGGATCTTCCCTTAATACGCCACTCCGTTGAATATCTAATATCGAGTGCTGCTTCTAAGGGATCCCCATCAATCCTTTCACATTTATTATCTCCCATTACAGTTGATGAATCCTTAACAGTTAATTATCTCTCTCTCCCACAACTGCAAGTTCCACAACTTTTGCCTTCCCTATCGGGCTATGAATTGGTTAGAAGCTTTGCCCAGCTCAAACTTAAGACTTCTCTTAACAAACGAAGAATTACGCATAGCAATAGGTCTCCGTCTTGGTTGTAAAATACTGGCAAACTCCCTATGTACATTATGTTCCCAACCCGTTGATTGTTTTGGACATCATTTTCTTCATTGTCGATTCTCTAAAGGTAGACATTCTCGACACAGTGCAGTTAACTGCACCATTTTCCGTGCTCTACGCTCAGCTCAAATTCCAGCAACCCTCGAACCCTGTGGTCTCTCAACCGAGAATAATATATAGCCAGATGGGCTGACATTAATACCATGGAGTAATGGAATTCCATTAGCATGGGACTATACTTGCATCGACCGATTTGCTCCCTCCTTTAATAACAACTAATTCAAGCGAGCTGAACACTCTAAAATTAATATATACACTTCCCTAACCAATTGCAATCTCATACCAATCGTATCTGACACAACCGGTTTTTTGGCAATCATGCCCTAATTTTCTTCAAAACCCTTGGTAAAAAAATCCGCGCCATAACTGGTGACCCAAAGAAAGGCTTCTATCTCAGACAGCGCATATCTATTGATATATGCAGATCTAACTGCCTTGCCATCCACGGCTCTCTTTCTTGACCTCCTCCCACCCATACAATTTACTATACTAAATTTTTTTTTATTATACTGTTTTTTATATAGATTTTAATTTACAAATAGTTTACATGATATTTTTAATATATATTTTTAAATTACGTATATATGTTTTACTTTTAACGTTTAATGTACTATTTTAAAATTGATTTTTAAATAAATAGTGTTAATCCAGTAGCGTACGCAAGAATTTGGTGTGGTGGGGGGGGGGGGGGATAATTAAAATTTTTTTAAATAAAATTATTGTTATTTAAAAATATCAAGCATAAATTTATTAGGACTAATAACTATTTCTAATATACAAATTTAAATTAATATGAATTATAAAAAATTAAATATATAAACCGATATATAAAAATAAATTTGATTTAAAAAATATTAAACAAATATAACCGGCGGCATATAAATACTTTAAATAAATCTTAATTATAAAATATTAAGTGGATATAACCAGGATATGATGACTATAAAATAAATAATCCATAATAGAAATTTAAATTTTTTTGAGCTTTTAAAATTTATATATAAAGTATAAAAAATCTAAATGTTGGAAATATGAATAACTATATTTTTTTATGTAAAAGAAAAATATATAAGACATTAAAAAATGATAGCACAAAAAATATTATAGAAACATTATATTTTTATTATGTAAAATCCAATCTTCGTTGGGAGGGAGCTAATTTTCAATTATCTCATCCGTGTTTGGCGTCAAATGCCTATGAATATTCAAAAGGGCCAGACTATTCAACCTACTTTCAGAAGTTGTACTTCTTAGGTACGTTTTTAATCTTCTTAAAGAAGAGAATGTTCTCTCATTAGTTGCAGTACTAATGGGAAGAGTTGCTAATATATATAATAATTTCAATATATTGGGAAAATAATCTAAAGATTAATGCTATGATGCAAAACATCATAGCATTTTTTGGGACTATATCAACCATAGTTAATCTTTTATACCATAGTTGGCATTCAGCTAATAAAGCATCATGAGATACATTAATGTCTTCATGATAAAAATCTTCCAAATATTTTATTTTTTTTCTATCAGCATTTGAAAAAGGTTCAGAGGGCTTTTGCGGAAGTAATATCTGCAGATTGATAAGTGTTTCTTGATAAATTAAAAACCTTTCATTTACTTGGGTTATAAATGTATCCAAAAGAGGTCTAAAGACATTTATTTTATAATATTCTTCTATTGACCCTATATTAATATTTGAATGATAAGTTTGCCTTGGATACAAATATTGAACTCGTATAGCTCTGCTTTTGATTTAACATTAACATATAAAATATGAAATTCCTCATCATCATTAGCTCTAATTTCTTTGAGTTCTAATAAAATTGTCTCTGCTATTCTCATCATCTCAATCAAATCAATATCAGGTTTTTGAAAAGTATTACATAAAATAGTTGTATAAATAAATAATTTATTAATACATTCTAATGCGAAAAAAAAATTTGGTATAAGTATTGATTCCAGTAACTTGCTTGCTTCTGAAAAAATATCTTTTTCAGACATTGTGATATTTCTATAAGAGCATTAATAATCGGCTCTTCTAACTCGATAAAAGCTGTTACTGCTTGATGTCGAAGACTCCATCTTGTTGGACAAGCTTTTTGCAATTTTTTCTCCTTGTTGGGCAAGGAGTTTCAGATATAATTCTGTTCAAAATATTTTGACGCTTGGGGTATCTAAACATCTCATAGATGCTAGATATTTTACCTGATATATAAAAAATTTAATTTAATAATTAAAAACCTAAGCAATTTATATCAATGGTAAAGAACACGAATCCGATATTGCTAAGTTGAATGAATGGGCAGCACAGTGGACATATATAGCTGTTGGGCATTTTTTTTAAATAAATGCCTGAAGCCCATTGAATTGTCCACTCATTGCACGTGCTCCATCACACCCTTGCCCACGTATTATATTTATATTTAGCTATATTTTTTTAAAATAATTATATAATAAGATTAATTATAATTTTTTAAGATTCACAAATATTACATCAGCTAAAGCAGACCCAGTCATGCTTGAAACAGGAATAATTGGAGAAACATTTCCTTGATAATGTCTTTATGAGTATCTACATATCGCGCACACAACGACATTTGCTCAATGCCAGCAATGTCCATGGTCTCATCTGCCAAAATTGAGAACTTGGGGCAGAATTGATTTCAACAATCAATTTTTCTAAAATGATATTGTTGTAAATATCAATTATCTCATTTTATATCCTAGGGCTGAGATAAGTAGCATTTTTATTGGTACTAATGAGGCTCTCCATTAATACAGGATCTCCTAATGCTTTAGATTTAAAAGGTCCACGGAAATTACCTTCGTTATATTATTAAAATTTAAGCTTCCTGAATCCTTGTGGCCACGAAGTGCTAGGCCTTGCAAGCCACAATATAAAATAGCCTCAATAGTTAGTTTTATCTTGCCTCTATTTTCTTTTGCAATTTTAACCCTATTTTTATCAATTATTGATGAAATGGGAATCATATCCCCCTTTTGAATTGATTCTTTTGCGCAAATCATCAGTTCACAGCTTTTGTTTATTAAATTATCATACCATATTTTTTTGCTTTTTGGCATGATTTTCACCTTCAGCGTTTTTTAAAAAAAGTCTAGAAATTTGAATATAATACCGGGAAATTTAAAAATAATAAATAAATATTACGCCACAAAGAAAACTTGAAAATGAAATTAATTGATAAAGTAAATCGGTAAATGAAAAAGGTAATAATATAAAAATTTAAAAAGAAATAGATATGAATAATTATAATAAAATATAAAAATATCAAAAATAATATTTTTGAAAAATATGTCCGGCATCTGCATTTTAGATCCCCCCCCTTCCCCGCTGCGTATGCCAATGTGTTAATCTTAAAAAAAATAAAAATAAAATAAAAAATATACTAACATATTTGAACTGACATCTGTAGATTTAAGTGGGGGAAGGGGGGCAAAATAATATTCAATAAATATTTATATATTTTTTTATATAAATAAGTTTTAATATTTGATATTTTTTTATTATATTAGTCTTAATAATATTTTATACATATTTATTTAAATCATATGCTCATATGAGATAAAATCTGCACTCATATATTTTTATTTTTTGAATAAAAAAAATTAAATAAAAGTATATCAAAATTATTTTAATAGGTATCTAATAAATACTACCTTTAAATAGTATATAAAGATACAAAAATATTTCTGTAAAGCACTTTATATCTAGAAGTATCTAGAACTTTAGCAACTCTGATATTTATATAATTTTATATATACATTAATATATAAATATTTATATTCATACATTATTATCATATTAATATATATACTAATATAATAATTATTTTTATATTTGTATTAAATATGTTTACTTAACACATAACACAAATATCGATGATCCATCCATAAACATATGCGAATGATTTAAATTTAGAAACGATTATTTTCTATTTTTTATTACTCACTTTTCTATAGTATATTATTAATATTTTCAAATATATTCAAATTGGGATATTGGATTCAATGAAATATAAAAAATTATAAATTTTAACTGAACATATTTTGTTATATCAGATGATAGGAATTGTAGAAAGAGGAGCTAATTATTTCCCATTAAGGATATTTTCACATAACACTGAAAAGTTTTATTTAAATCAAACAAGAATATATTTTATTATATTTTTAAACTTTATATATTGAAGATAAATGCGGGAATCTATCCGTAAATTACAATCATCCTCCCGTGACAAAATCATATCTTCTAATGAAGATTTTAATTTGTCGCAATCTCCACTCCCACCAAGCAATTTTAACAAACCTCAATACTCAAGAGGCTCCAAAATTATCCAGATTAAAGGGGAATCAAATATGGAATCTAGTTCATCTAGCAGATATGGATGGCTAGATTGGAGACCAGAATTCCTACAAGATTTTTTGATTAGAAATTATGGGCTTTGGCCCTTCTTGGCAGTTATTTCCTATTGTGCTTGCATTGAGGGTTTTATTGTCAATGGCATGATTAATGTCATAGTGACAAGCATAGAAAAACAATTTCAAATGAGCAGCAGCTTAGCTGGTGCTATTGTAAGTGCATATGACATATCTTTCTTATTATTTGCTACACCTGTGTCATTTTTGGGTGGTCAAAGTAAAAAATCATTAGAAAATTATTCAGGCAAAATCAAAATTTGGCTCAAAATTAAGGGACTTCTCTCTGGCAACAAAATTCGCATTCTATCATCTGGCATGTTTTTTATGGGTCTTGGATCTTTGATATTTGCCACACCTCAATTCATATCCCCACCTTATTTAAATTCCCCTATCACCACAAATTCATCTCTCTCAGTCATCGAATTATGTCATTCTAGAATCCATGCTCAGTCAATCAAAGGAAATTACTCTAACTTCAAACCAAACTCTGAACTGGAAACCAATTCTCCAAAAAATTTGTTCTACCAAACGACAACCTTTTATTTTTTGCTCTTCTTTATTGGAAATTTTTTTCATGGCATAGGTTCCTGTCCTTTATATACACTGGGAGTGACATACATAGATGAAAATGTGCCAGCCGAGAGTGTTTCCTTCTACTTAGGCTTATACTATGCTATTTCTGTATTGGGTCCAGCTCTTGGATTCCTTTTTGGAGCCTTTGCGTTGAGTTTCCCTGTTGACCTTTGGAAATTGCCTTATAATAATCCCTTCATGAGGGATGCAAGTATATATTTTATTTTATTCCATTTTATTTAAAATTACTTGATTAGTTTCATTTTTATCAGCTTACTAGAGAATTTAAAATGGTTGCCTAACTAATTAATATAATCAAAACTTAACATAAATAAATAAATAAATGAGATGATTATCATGTAAGAAAGAGAAGTGGGAGATTCTGCCTATCATAAATTGAATTTTTTTAAAAATAATATTTAAAAACAAATAAAAATTAATGCCCCACACTCCTCTCTCTACTCATTCAAATCTTTTTAAAAACTATATAAGTGTAAAATAAATAACAAATATATTATTCAAAAAATTAGTGTAACAAGGAAATAGACTGGGGAAAAGTTACCAAAATCCCTCAAAAGGGTAATCCCCATCCCCGCGAAAATTTTGGGTATGCACCTGGATATGAATGGCAGCTTTAATCTAAAGGTTTTTTTTTATAAACCTCTAGATCATTTACCATTAGCTTTTTTTAATAAAAAATAGTTCAATTGCGTTGCTACTTGATTTGGGCTTGTTCACAAAAAAAGGATTGCCCCAAAAATTATTATAATCACAACACTACCCAAATAATTGATACTTTAATAAAATTCAAAATTTAAATATTTTATAAATATACTCTAGTAAATCTGTAAGAGATAAAATTTTCATACTAAACTTGATCCGATTTATAAGAAAACCAATCTGACTTACCCCGATTTTTCCAAAAATTTTTTTTGCCACCCCGAAAATCAAAATATGAAAAAATATTTTTCTATAAATTTTTTTTAATATTCAGTATGCTATAAAAATAGTTCTAAAAATGAGAAAAATAATATAAAAGTTTCACTAAAAAATCTCTAAAAACACAAAAAAATTGGGAATTTTGCTTATATCTCATAAAAAATTGCCTGAAGATGCCTTATAATTTTATTGATTGGATCTTAATTGAAAATTCTTTTAGAGTAAGAATAAAATAACTCTTTCTTATTCTTTAATATTAGTTTTATGATGGTATAATTGTTTTGCATTAAGTCAGTTGTATCTAGTGTTGTTAAACGTGAGCCGATTTTTAAAAACGGCTAATTCAAAATTTAGCCCGAAATATATTGCCTAAACCTCGAAATTTCTCAAATAGATGTCCAAACTTTTCTGCCATCTATGACCAAAATCTTCAGGCTTGCATATTTTTTTCTATAAAATATTGAGTTAGCCGTATATAAATCGACTCAAATCTAGCCTTTTAACAACACTAGTGGTATCGGATAAATGTGAAAGTATATAAACACATTTGGATTGTAAAGATCCGCAATTTTAATATTTATCAACTAGGAAAATAAATATTGAGAACCTATTTAGAAATAAAATCCCCTGCTTTTTAATATGAATGACAATGAAGAATGCGTACAATTTTTTTAATTAAAATTTTTTATAAAAGAAAAAAGAAAGGATGTGTTTTTAAGTATTTTAGTTTTATAAGTAGCTAAACTTTGTATTACTTTTATTGTTATAAACATAAATCTGAAAATGTATCCTGTTCCATTTTTGGTCAAAAATATGTTTTAGTTCTGGTAATGTTGCCGAATGTTCTTGAAAAAGAAAATAGCTAAATAATAGAGTTGGCAAAAATCGTGATTTTTTTGATTTAAATCGCGATTTAAACTGAATAAAAATAATTCAAATTTTAATTAAAGAATCATGGGCTAAGATTGTAAGATATCATTTTTTTAAATTTCTGTTTAATATTATCCGGCAAGTAAAGTATTAATGCTCAAAGGAACAAGTCAGGAAATTGTTGAAAAATAAAATAATGATATTTTGTAATTTGAATTTTTTTTAGAGCCGATGATATATAATATACAGTTATTTTTTAATAGATTAAACTATCAATTGTTTGCTAAAATAAATTTATTGTAGAATTTTCTGATTCAATTAAAAATGCCAAATGTAATTTAATTTTTTCAAACAAAAATTAGCTATTGCTATTTCTCGACCGGTTAAGAATTAGCCCAATTTAAAATCTCCTAAAGATTTGAAGAATTTTCAAAAGTTTTTCAATATCTTACATGCTTATAAAAAAAATAAGTAGTATAGCCAACTTTCATCCTTTGCCAAACGATACAATCTAACTTTAACTCCTGCACACTTATCTTACCTTTTAAACCCCCAGAAATATCGTTCAAATTTAAAAACCAATAAAATGGAAACGCCAATGGAATATGGGGAGCTTCTGTATCCAAACACTGACATTTTATCTATATTGGTAAAGTTTCAAGCAAGATTAGAACTATTTACTAAAATTATATTTTCGGATATGACCCAATTGAATGGTGGGTGGCCAAAGGAAATTTGATAAAGGATGCAAATATTCTAAAAAAAAATATTTAAAAAAACTATTTATTGCATCTTCATCATCCGCTTCAGTCGAGAGATTATTCTCAGGAGTTGTTCAGCCCGAAGCTTAGGAATCGGTTAGAAACAGAAAAGGCAGGAAAATTAGTTTTTTTATCTAAGCAATTAAATTCTAATCACAAAGTCGACGATATAGATATTACTTGTGATTTTTAATATATGTTTCTTTTCTCCTAATTTTACAAACTAATTGAATATTTTTTTTATTTTATTATAAAGAAATACAATTTTTTTTTAAAATATGCATAGATTTTTTATTTTAGTTTCGTTTTATATTTAGATTATATAATAATTTTTCACTAATTGCGATTAGGATCAGCAGTTATTTTCCTACTATGTTAAAAATTGAAATAGAAAATAAACTTCTTTATCTAATAAATGGTGATTGCTAGTGCAATTTGGTTGTTTAATTTAGATTTTGCTTATCAAGTCCTTATCATTCACTATTTTAAATTTTTAAGCAATCCTACAACCTTACAGATAATGGAATATTCAAATACTCGATTCGCTTTAAAATAATATATTAAGACGTCAGTCAATATATATATTGCATTGCTATACAATGCCAAAATTTTATTAAGGCGTAATAAGACCCATTTTTAATATAATATTAACGGGATGGATACATACGTCCAAATCATGTCATAACTTTATATCTAGTATTTCTTCAGAAAAATGGACATACCTAGACCAAACACATGTTCTACAGGAGCCTAGTTTAGTCTATGCAAGTGAGACATTATATTTAAATAACGAGTAATTTTTAAAATTTGGAAAATCATCATATCAAAGGTTATTAATGAAAAAATTATATAAATATTTAACATATTTTTAAAAATTATGTTAAAAAATAATCGTTACTTTTGTAATTACATTTCAGAAATTTCTTTTTTTTAAAAAAAGTAACGAATTACGTTTGTCATTAGTTACTCAAACCTTTTCATAAGTTGATTTTTTTAAAAATTTTATTTATGAGTGGAAGCTTCAAAAATGACCAAACCAATGGGTTTAGTATTTTTTTAGCCGGCTAAAAAATAGTGCAATTACCCCCAACTATATACTTCAGTCATTAATTTCTTCGAACTTAACGATAAAAAAAGAGGCGTAACCGACGTATTTTCTAATTTTATATGCGGACTAAATCTCTCACTACATATTTTTTTTGGCAATTGCAGCGATTTATGAATAGTTCCTTTTGGATTAACCTCAGGGTTAGGCAGTAACGCGAATACTTGTTTTTAAAATACCAAATACAGATACTTTTTTTTGTATTTATTTGAATATTTTAGAAAGTATTTAGTATTTTTATCTTAAATACTAAGAAAAAAATTATTTTGTAATTATTATCCGTTTTTAAACGAATAAATCTGCATTTATTTATTTTTAATATTAAATTTGTGACCCGAGTTGGCGAAAAAAAATTAAAATTTCTCTATTAAGTTATTGTTTATAAGATATTTTTTCCCGGATTCTGTGACATGGTCAATAACCTCCAAAAATTATTTGATTGGATGAAAATTTTTTTTTCAAAATATGATCTAAAATCAAAAGCTAAATATAGCATCTGCTCATCTAAATGTAACCAAAATCATAATTGGAAGCGATTTCATCCTCCAGTAATTCGTTATTATGCTCTGTAAAACCGTGAATATTAAATATATTTGCAATTATTACATAATTTATGTGATATTCTGTTACTGCTGCAACTATTGAAACAAAATCGTTCCATTTGAGCTAATTTTGAAAACGGCTAGAGTATTATATCCAGAAAAATATTACGCAAACCTGAAAATTTTGGCCATAGATGGCGCAAAGGTACGGACATCTATTAGCGAACTCTCGAGATATAGGCCATATTTTTTGGTTAAAATATTGAGTTAGCCGTTTTTAAAAATCGGCTCAAATGGAGCCATTTTGCTTCATTTGCTGCAACAATGAGTAGTTTATATTACTGGCAGATATTCGATAATTTTAGAAAATGGTTAATAATGTGAATATTATTTAGGTTGAAAATTGATCTGGAAAAAGTATTCGTCAAAGTATCTGTGATTCTTATTTGTATGTATATTTAGTATTTATATTTAAAATACATTTTTTTTGTACATTTATTTATATACAAATAAATTATTTTGATTTGATTTTGTATTTATGTTAGCGTCAATGTGTTTTTTCCAGATATGTGTTATTTTTTCACTTTAAATCGTTTTTTTGAGCTTTTTTAAAAATTTAAAAATCTTATTTTGCCGGAATGCTGTCATGTTTGGAATACCTACCTTCTGAATTTAGGACAATTTTTTCCATGAACCTTTGAACTTAATATAATTTATATCATATTTTCCATACATTTTTTATTTAAATTATAAATGACTCAAAGGTTAGCAGAAAAATTGTCTACAATTTACAAGATAGGTATTTCAAACATGATAGAATATATTTCCGGTAAAATCTGATTTTTAAATTTTAAAACACGCGCTTAAAAAATGATTTAGAGTTGTAAAAATAACACATTGCAGGAAAAAAAATCTATATTTGAATAATATTTTTTTAAAATTATCCTTCATTTTTTTTAAAATAAAAATTAATAAATAAATTATGAATAAATTG